GGTGGCTGATATTTAAGAAGGTAGTTGTTTTGTTATTGATGAAATTTGCAGGGTTTTGAACCATCAATTCTTTACCCAAAGCAGTCCAAATCGGAACTTATGCGGCGGCTGGTAACACAAACAACAAAAATGGGCATCAGTTACCTTGATGAAAGCGATGCGAAGGAACCTGCTGATTTAAAAAATAACTTCTCTTTGGTGATCGATGCCTTGTTTGGCTTCAGTTTCAAACCACCGCTAAGGCCACCGTTTGATCAAATCATCGATGTCGTCAACAAAAGCTCCCTTCCAGTTTTCGCAGTCGATATCCCTTCAGGTACCGTCGTTATATTCATTTTTCCACTGTATTAGACCTGTTTTCCGGCATGAACGATGGATCTGACAGCGATTTGTCCATGAAAAATGACTACCACTTCTTCTCTGTTCGGTGATAGATGCTAAAATCATTTTTTTTAAATGGAAAATTGTGAAAAATTAAATTACTGAACAAAAATTTTGGCAGGAAAAAATTAGTTGGTCTTAGAATTACCAAAAGTAGCGAAGTGCATTGAAAAAAAAAAAAAACGCATTTTCGGCCCATAAATGTGAAATTTAGTCCTGAAGCATTGAGAAATGATACTCCTGATGCCAGTAGGGATAAAAAATGCTGGGATCGCGCTTCGGAACCTTCTATGGAGACTGGTTGGCTTCACTGTTTTAAACATAAATTTTTATGTAATAGTATCTGCAAATCTTAATTTAAGAAATTGGTGAAAAAATTGACTTGATTTGATTTTACTGCTAGCTTCGATTACTTCGTATGAAACGTTTAACTCGGAAAGATTTACGAAGACATAGCATCTTTTATTTTAGTGCTTTTAAAAAATCTGATATCCAGATATTCTCATAATCTAGTAACGTTAAAGGCAAATTCTATAGCATGTTTCATGCTCCTTGAGAAACGGAAGCATTCGAAAGTGGCCCGAGCGACGGTAGTTTACTAGAAGCAGCCACCTCGCTTCCTCATCCCCTCGCTGTTTTTTTTTTTTGAGAAAGCTAGCGTTGATTTCTTTTCCCAAAAATTGCTTAAAAAGCCATCAGTCATCACTAGCTGTGCCAGAAATCGTCTGCTAAATTTTTTTCCCCGGGGCTTTACTAAATTTACAAAAAATAAATGCTTGCTGTGAGAAGTATGACTAAGTACCACTCAGTTTCGAAAAACGAAGTTTGATATGCTTGCTGAACGAGGAACAATTGCGTTACGCAAATCCTTGTGGATCTTTTTTTGAGGAAAATTGCCTCGGGCAAAATTTTGAAATTAACCTCGCTACTAACTTGATGAAAGGATTCATTGCAGGGACAGGAAGAGGGAGAGGGAGGAGGAGGGGAAGGAGAGGAGGATAGGAACGGGGGGTTGATTGGTATTCATTATTTTTCTGTTGAACAGTGATAGTTAAGAAGCAAAGAGCGCGCGAATTGGGCCCATTTCATTCATTCAGAGGTCATTTCAGCATGCACGCGCATTTTCCTCTTTACGTAGATGCGCTCGCACACACAAATTACGGTGTGTGTGCGCGTTGAAAACGATTCCCCGATAATAAGTAGCAATAAAAAAAGTAATTAGTAAATTGAAAAATAGCGTTGCGGCGCCGTTTTGCTGACAG